GCTGTAACTACAGTCTTACTGAACATTTCTTCCTTGCAGATGCTGCAGTGACAACTCACATCATACTATGTAACACTAAATGAGACAAAAGCATTTTATAGTACAACTAAGTCAATTCTTTTTGATACATTTGCAACCCACAGTAAAAAGCCAACATCAAAGTCCTTTATATGAGAATGTCTGAAATAGGGCCAGTCAGCACTTATGCTTTGATAGTTCATCCTGAATAAGGGATGGGGCTATTCAGAACATCAGAAGAATGCAAGACACAAGTCACATTTTGCTTTAACAAAATAGAGGTCCATTCCAGGACAGAATCATAGAATCATAGAATCATTTAGGTTGGAAAAGACCTTTAAGATCATCCAGTCCAACCATTAACCTATACTACCAAGTCTACTCTAAGCCAATCAAGGGTAGACTAGACTAAACCATGTCACAAAGTGCCACATCTACCCATTTTTTGAACACCTCCAGGGATGGTGACTCCACCACCTCTCTGGGCAGCCTGTTCCAATGCTTGACCACCCTTTCCGTAAAGAAATTTTTCCTAATTTCCAACCTAAACCTCCCCTGGTGCAGCTTGAGCCCATTTCCTCTCGTCCTATTGCTAGCTACTTGGGAGAAGAGACCAACACCCACCTCGCTACAACCTCCTTTCAGGTAGTTGTAGAGAGCGATAAGGTCACCCCTCAGCCTCCTCTTCTCTAAGCTAAACAGTCCCAGTTCCCTCAGCTGCTCCTCATAAGGCCTGTTCTCTAGACCCTTCACCAGCCTTGTTGCCCTTTTCTGAACATGTATTTTTTCCCCAAACTGACAAAACTTTGAATATACAAAATTGTCTTGGTTTAAATTATTAGCAATGAATGGTGCAACCACTGCACCTGAAAACATGCTAGAGTATCAAAGGTACAAACAGCAATGTACAAAAAAACCCTGGAAAGGTATCCACTGTGCTTCAACCATCATGTCTTCCCATGTTTTCTCATATTCCAAACCGTTATATCTAGTTTAAAATGCTGCTCAGGAGCTTGAGAAATCTAATTTGCACCATTATCAATATACTCAGTCATACAAGTTTCAGAATCAGGCCCTTAAAATACAAACAGTTTGGATTCTACACTGAGAAGAACATAAAAATAGCACAACAGGTACTAAAAATAGTAGCTGGAGAAAGAAGGTTGGCTTGTATTTGTGTTTGTAGAACACAGTGCTATTCTATATCCATAGCAAATATATCATTCTAATTTTCAATCAATATTCCATTACTTTCTAAGCTAATACCAGTTGATAATATGAGTAAAATTATTGCAGTGGATTTGGTTGCTTACTTTTCTTAACCACTTGTAAAATAGTAAAATACCAAATGTATTTTATATCTACTTAATTGCAATTTTATTTTGCATATAAACTTCCTTAAGCTAGTATTTTTGAACAAATTTTTATGATTTACTTTCTCCTGATTTTGGTCCTTGTTTTTCACACTTGAAGGGAGAAATTTTATATTTGAAGGGAGATGTAAGGTTTTATATATGATACTCAAAATACTAAAATTGTTAGTAATTATACTCAATATAGCATTAATAATTAATCATGTACTTAAACAGTGTATTTGCATTTTTAAGTTTCATAACAACCAACTTAAAAAAATAGACTGATCATTATAAAATCATCACAGAATATGAGACTTCTTTATGTATTATGTATGCTTTGGAGTATCAGAGATCTATAACCATCTTTGTTCACAGAGATAAACATGCATATTGTAGATGAACAAAAAGTGAACTGGATTGGGGTAAAGGTAATTCTTTTTTTTTTTTTTTTTAACATGTTCTGCAGTACAATAAAGTTGCCCTAGATATCCTATGATGAACACAGTAGAGACAAGATTTATATCGTGACTAAAAGAAGACTACACTGCCCAAAAGGACTGAGATACAGACACCATTGTTCACATAATATCAACATTTCCTTTTTCTGTATCCACAGAAATTTGAATGAATAGAGCAAGCTAAGACAGCTACATTTATCTAAAATGTTAAAATAGAATCTTTGCACTTTCTTCTGAACAGAAACTATTTCAGGTATTATGATTATTCAAGGATGATAAAATTGAAAAGGTAGTAAAAGACCTGTAAGTAAACTTCTTCTTTATGTAAGATTAAAATAAATGTAGATCAAGTAAAGAGACAAGTACACTCAACAACCTATTCTTTCTCATATTGAAACAAGTATTGCATATAATAAAATGGAATAGCTTGAAAAGGAATATATTTTTAACTTGAAATTTTTACAGCACCACCACCCCCCCAAATTAGTATAATTTCTTGCAGATTATTAAATCCTTTGCAGATTTCTGTGTCATAGTAGTTCTGAATTCAAAGGGAAACTCTAGATCACTAAAGCTGCAAAACTGAGTTTTGTAAGCATGTGTATTTTGGACTGGTTTTATTACTTGTCAGCATCATTATTTGAGAGAGAGGCTTAATTTTGGTTCAGAAAACTACATTCCTTTCATTTAAAGAAGTTACATCTAAATTTCCCTTTTCACTCATCCAGCTACTCCTGTTCTGCTCACTGATGTCACATTTAACACACTGGAAAACATTTGATGGAACAGCAACAAACTTCAGCCATGGTTTGATGGCAGCTAGAACAAAGGTTTCTTGAGAAATTTAAGATTCTGAGGTTTAGTGGGAGCTGGTGTGAGCAAAGGAAGTCTTCATGTGCTGTTCCCTTTGGGTTTCTGTCAGAGCATTCAATTAAAGGCCCTACAGTTTCATATCTATAGAGTTCCAAACTTTCAAAAGGGGATCTGGCTTTCCAGAGGTCCTCAATTATCTTTTTTTGCTGCTTTGAATTTTTGGTTGAGAACTCCTCCTTATCCTAACAGTTAGTATATAAGCGCAATTGTTTATATGCTCCCAAAGTTGGCTTCCCATGCTAGTAAATAAACTCAAAATGTTAACTTGAGGGATTTGCTATTCATAGTGATTCTTTCTTGGAATGTGGTAAACAAATGACAGATGTACATAAGGAGGAAAGAGGAAGAGGTGGTATCAGCTGTCTCAGATATATGATCATCTCTTACATTTAGAAGAGAAAAAGCAAAATGAAGGTCTGTGTTACAAACACTTAGGCCATCTTTGGTCCTAGAGTCTAACATTTTCTATTCACTAGGAATCTCTGAAAATCCTAAAACAGCTGATGAGATGCTCTAGCTAGAGACAGAGGAGATTAGGTAGTCAAGACATGTATTTTTGACCACAAAATTATTAAAAAGTTCTATCTTATTTTTAGACTGTCAAGAAAAAAAATCTATTCTTGAATGAATCTAAATATTTCCTTTGAAGCATGGAGGTGATCTACAAGACTTTAAGCATGTGGTGAGAAAACACTGAACCACTAATTTTATAGGGTGTAGGGAACACAACATAGTAAACATAGAGGCTACAACTTTAATACTGTTACCTGGCCAGTAGACAGCCCAAAACTAACTTAGAGGCTGTTCTAGTATGCATCTCAGTAGAAATACTTCAAAGAAAAAGTGGTGACAGAGTGTGAAGACCTTTCCCCCCACCTGTCTTTAGCCCTGGAAGTATCCAAACGCTGTGCACTTAAAGGGAAGACTGGAAAGCGGTCAGCACTTGGCAACGTATTAGCAACAGAATAACAACTTGTTCTCTTCAAAATTTCTGAGTTTTGAAGGGTCATAGGTTGTAACACAGCAAGCTCCATCATAAGAAACGCAATACACAATAAAGAACATCAAATCTTGATCTCTTTCTTCAGAACAAACTATCAGATTATACCTTACACCTCACACCCCTCAAAGATGACTATGAAAAAGAAAACTATGTCGAAAGAATATAAGATCTTTGCATTCCCTGCACAGAACTGGGCAAGTACAATAGAAAACCCTATAACACTAATATATTAAAAATATTTTCAGCTACTGAACAGATCTTCCTAACCCTCAGGATGTCAAATATAGGATACATGGGTTTATAGATCTTTATACTAACTACCAGACATAGGATATGTTTTCTTACTTTAAAAAAAAAAAAAAAAAAAAAAAAACCAACCAAAACCTGAAAGGATATTGCTTTTGAAATGTAGACCCAAAGGGTCTTGACAAAAAATGAGCACTCTCGTTCCAGGTGCCTTAGTGGAACCAAATTTACTATTAAAGCCTTTTCCTCCAAAGAGGATAGAACTTCTCTCCACCTAAAAATAATCTTTTGGGAAATAAATGTGGGACAATCCAAAGAAAATATTGCATTATATCAGATTTAAAAGGAAGCTGTTTCTTTTTATAATACGTTTTGAGGGTTTTTAAAATTAATTTTATGACCGCTTGGCACTAAAATGAACTAATGTCTCCACTAATAAACCTGTAGGTTCGTTAACCTGACCAGAATAAACAGATCACACATAGTGAAAGGTTAATAACATATACAATTTTAAAAAGGTGATAAAATAAATCAAGATCTGTATCTGCAACTTACTATAATCATATCTGCTTCCAAATGATATTTGATTGTTGCCCTAAACTTGTACCCAAGTATTTTGAACTGATATTTTTTCTGGCATTATGTAGTTAAAGTATATGTAACTCTGGAAAAGTAAGGCAGGGAAGAGGATTTTTTTTTTTTTAACAGTCCTTTTTTCATGAATGAATCAAAGTTTTTGCCGAGCTGTTCTGTAGCAGATTCAGATAAGTTTGTTTCACCAAATGCTTGAAAACCAAAAATAGCATCTACTTTAAATACCACATGTCCCTGTTCAAAACATTAAACCCAAGTGTTTTAGGGGGAAAAGTAAATTCAGCAAAAAATAAGTATTTCAGACATGTTTCATCAAAAAAACCCCTACAAATGTATTTCAAAATAAATGTGATCAGACAGTTACAAATATCTTTGAGATCGCACAGTCATTTACATACTTGCAGTGTTTTACGATGCAGTAAATAAGCACTTTGCAACCTAGAAGTATCATACCTGAAATGGCTTAGAGGTGCTGATGTAGAGTGTCTGTCTGATCCATCTGTTTCCTTGATTTCCAAACTTGTACCACAACAGCTGTCCCTTGCTATTACTCACAGTTCTCTGGAAGACTGACAGCTTGTAAACTTGCTTTCCAAACATATGATAATGAAAGCGGAAAATGCAGGTTCCGTTGCCGGAAGGGTTGAAGAGAGGACTAAGCAAAACTGCTTTATCTTGGAATTGGCGTGGCTCGGAGGATTCCATGTAGAGGTAGTGGCCCCCAGCTGTGCCTGTCGTGTGATCCTTTAACGGGCCTGTATTAACTGTGGGGGTTGGACCCTGTATTCTGATCCAGTCAAAGTCATCTTCAACGTCCTGCTCCCAATTGCACAACCCATCTTCAAAGTTACACTTCAGGTCAGGGTCTGAAATGTAAACAGAACAGACTGTCAAACGAAAACAGTATCACAAGGTGATTGTGCTCCAATATCTTTTTCTCCTTTCAAAAATTTCGTTCTAATATAGAGAAAAATGCATATCTTCTTTTCCTTGCAAAATTTCCCCTCTGAAGAATAAATATACACTTGCCTGGATGAAAAAAGAAAAATAAATCTTTACTTAATTACCTCCTCTATCAACATATATATGGCAAGCTGTACATAATTAACTTCTTGAATAAACAGAACTGTGAATAACATTTTATTATTCATATTATTAAAATTATGTACTTTTATAATTAAAACACGCAGGTTTTTAACTGACATTTAACTGAGTAAAGGACTTAAAACTGAGGTTAATTGGATGAAATAAACCACAGGATAGTTTTGTAGGTATGTGTAATAAGTGACCTAATATGTTTTTGCATGGCAGGAGTAGTCTTAAAAATGGGTTGTATTTTAGATCTTTATTATCCTCAATAATAGTAGTGTGATAGCTTTATCAAAGCTAAATTCAAAAGAGGCATTTATAAGGCAACTGCACTTTATTATTTGACACCAAGGCAAAATATATTGATTAGACCAATTACTTCTAGTGTAAAAAAATAAAATGTCTATTGGAGGTAGAGAACTTGCATTTTGTCTTTGCATCTGCCTTTCATAAACAGTATCTGACATAATAACATTCTTTTGTACTTTAATTAAGCTGTTATTTTTCATGATGTTTAAAACTGCAAGCCATATAGTACTTCCTTACTATAGACCTCAAATTGGGTTATAAAGAAGATAGACATTTTACAAGTGGGAAAACTGAGATAGGCTGGAAGCCTGCACTTTCTTTTAAATTCAGATCAGTTTTAAGTTGATATTCGGCAAATAGCAGTGCAAGCTGGCATCCCCTCAAGCATGTAAGGTGTCCCCTGTTTCTCAAACTCATTGTGATTTGCATAATTTAGTTACCTCAGGATGTGGTAAATCAACTGCTAGTTAATTTTACTTTATATTAATGTTCTTGAGTTCTTAAAATTTATGAATGCATGCTTCAGGGAGAAAATCATCAACAGCACCCTTCAGCACTGCAAGGCGAATGTCAAAAATGTGAATGACCCATAGCTTTCCTTAGTACTTACATGTTCTTTCTTTCAAAGGAACAATTATGCCCAGCATGAGTAGTATCTTCTAGTACAGATATTTTAGCATTTTCTAGGTAGAAAGTGTATAGGCCATAAAAAGATATAGGACATACACTCCTCTCAGTCCATATACATCTTCCACTGTACGTCCATCAGTATAATCAAAGACAGCATGTTAACCCAAATCAACTGGCAGACTGTGAATCCTCCCTTTTAAAATAAACTTGTAATGCATGTGTGTGTTTTACAAAAGTTAAAAAAACAAGGCTCATTTGGATAAAGGAGATTGAATTCCATTTACCCTCAGTTGTAACTCATCATATGGATTTAAGTTAAAAATTTTCAGTCTGTTTCATCAGTAAATATATTCAGTTGAATCATCACTGGCTGTGACACTGAGAAGTTGTAACAGTACTGTGCTTTTTTACTCCAGGGATGAATTTGGCAAGTAAATTTTGGTTTGATATAAAATAAGCAACAATAGAAAGTACTTACTACAGTTATCTTCATCCGATCCATCCCCACAGTTATCCACAAGATCACAGACCAATAAACTGTCAATACACACTTTTGTGTCTCTGCACCAGAAATGATTAGGACCTTCACAACTTAATGCTGGAGGTGGAAGAGCACAATTTTCAAATATAATATCATCAATTGCTGAGACGCCGTCATAAAAACCCAGACTGATTTTATCAAGTGATAATTGGAAAGGATGTAGAAGGCGTCCAAGCTGAATGACTGCTTTCAGCCATTGATTTCCCTCGTTGTAATATGCCCTCCAAAGGACAGTAGGCTGCTTCAGCCCGTCCACAAGCAACTGCATCTCTGCTGCCCCAACCGACTGGCCGTAATTGTAATACCTAAAATGACAAAAAAAGGTTAATGCTGCAAATAATGAGAATGGACCACTTGATGTATAATGGCCAGTATCTTTTCTGTCATCACTCCGTGAAACATAGGAAGTCCACACTGCCTACTTCCAGTTTACCTGTAATTCAATCCACTTTCTGTATGATGGTAGGGTAGGCTGCTGTATCAGTCCAGGACTCATTTCAAGAATTGAAGATTGTGAGAGAAGCAGCATACTTCATTTAATTAAAACCCATAGCTGAAGAGACACATTTGTTTTCATATTAAGCAATGAGCACTGCTCACTCAGATGCATAAAGTGTTTTTTATAAATTTAATTCAGTACATAATTGTAAAGTTTCAAGAAGGAAAAACAGAACACTTGCTGAATACAAAAGTACACCTTCTATCTATGTTAGTTATTGTTAACGTTACACTTTACAGCATTTTTGGAGGATCTTAAAGCATTTAAAAATCATAAATATTTAGGTGAGCAACTGTACAACAAAACGGGGAACAGAACCAGGAACAGAACCAACAACTTGTAATTTCCAGACCTATACTCCAACTTCAAGTCTTGAGTGTTTGATAAAAAGAGATTTCCTCTTCCTATGGCAAATGTATTTGACATTACTGAGAAAAACTGCACTTAATAATATCAAAGTCAGGCCAAATATTTATTTAAGCAGTAGCACCACTTTTGACCTTAGTCAAGAAATTATCACAGTTTAGTTTTTCTGTCTCTCTTTGACAAGACTGCACAAAGATTGAGACAAGACAATAACTGAAAGGGGTTTTAGTTTTTTTTCTATGTATATAAAGAAAGGATTGGAAGCAAAGCTCCAATTCTTGCATTGGAGCTTTCGCTTAAAGATGATACAGTCTAATTTTGGATATTGTAGGTGACTCAAGGAGCTACTAGATTTTTGGATGGTTTCCTGTTCTTGAACAAAATTGCACAACATTTTCAAATTTACTTAACCAAAGTAGAAACGTTAGCAAAATGACTGTGGTATTTGTCCAGGTATATGCAGACACAATCCTTTAATATAATTTTGCTCACAGCCTGACAACAAAGTCATCCCATGTTTCAGTTCTGTTGTCCAAGTGCTTCAGCTTATTTCTGCATATTGTTCACAATAAAGATATGATTAAAGAATAAAAAGAAATAAATACTGCAGAAGAAGGTATGTCTATGGCAAACTATAACTTCAATTTCAGTCCAAGAGAAACAATTTGAGATGATCCATGAACTTTAAATTATTTCATACCAAAAGGACAATGTGCAATTTGATCCAGTTTGTCTGAACTTCGGGCTTCGTAGCTGAGCTACTTGTGAAATGCTGCTGCTGTTTTTCAGAATGAACATAAAATGACCTATCAAAATAAAACAGAAAACAACTTTTCAGGCCAAATAAAGAAAGTGTTTCTAAAGTTTTTTAAAGCATTTGTGGCCTCCACTTATAATCTGATTAAAGAGCACATGTATCTATTCCACTTCTCTCTCTCTAGGCCTGGCTTGTCTTACCTTCAGATTTGTTGTAGGTGTGATCATGTGGAGGAGCTTGCTTCTGAAAAGCAGGTGCAAGAGCACTACTGGAACTTCTTACCCAATCAAATTCATCTGCATTTGCAGTTTCAATCCAACCGCAGCTCTCTCTTTCAAAATCACATGCAGCAGCTGAAATGAGAAAAGAGACATTTTGCTTTATCTCTGTATAGGACATTACTAAATAAGATTTGCAGTATGAAAAGGAAATAAAACATTGCTAATACATCACTGATATTCTAGAAAGAAGGCTAGGAAAGGGGCATGGAGAGGCAGAGTACAAGATGGGGTATTTGCTTTATATCAGTTGGGTAAAACAGCAGTCCCACAGGAACAACCAAACCATCCTTATATGAAATATATTCAGTAAAACAAGTATTTCCCTCTAAAGACACTGCAGCCAAAGCACTCAAAGCAAGGGAGGGGGCACTGAAGACAGACCTCACAATCCTCATGTTGCAGAGCAAGAACACAGAGCACACAAAGCAGTAACAAGCCTTCTGCAAGATCTTTTAGGGAATTGATGCTGGAGTCAGAAATCAAATCCCTTATTTCCTGAACCTCAGCAAGTGTGCTAATGATAACGAAACACTTCCTCTAGTTATAATAGCAATTAAGTTAAATATCACGGATTACTGAGACACTATGATATTGCTAAAAGGAGGAAATCTCTGAAACACAAACTACTGCAGTGAAAAAGATTTTAAAAATATATTCAGCTGCATTCTTCAATTCTACATTTAAAGGAGCAGAGATATTTTAGAAAATGTGTATTATACAAAATAAAGGAAAGAAAGGAGTGGGTGTCATGTATGAATGAATGTAAATTGACAAATATTTATTATGTTAAAATGAAGAAACATCCGGTTTTCCTCTTCTGCACTTTAAAAATAATCCTCATTAAATCACAAAATGACATTTTTGAGTCCTGTGATTATAACAGGCATTAAATGGGAAATATTAAGAAATTATTTCAAGATTTTTCTAATCAATAATTTTCAATTATATACATGGAATTAAAACAAACAAACAAACAAAAAAAACCCCACCAGACATGACTATCAGAATTCTACCATTATTTTATACCATCTTATCACAACTTCCAGTGGCCATATCATTACACTATAGAAAATGCACATTTCAGAATCAAAGGAAGTCTCTTGGAGAATAAGATTACATAAATGTTTATTTATGGATGATATGGGAGCTTTTTGATTTTTTTCTTCTTCTTTAAGGGTTCTGTCACATTAAGTTATACATCATTTGTTAGAAAGAATGAAAAAATTACTAAGCAGGCAAGTTAGTATTATTGTTGGTTAGGGCTTCTAAAAAGATGAGATCTTGTGGATAATTAAGCAAAACACATAGAAATCTACAGTTATTAATGCTGCTTCAGAGAAAATCATTCCACAAATATGGAAGACCAAATAACATTTAAGAGATCAAAGAAAATAGGAGTTCACTATACATATGGTTTATGTGGGTCAGAAACATCAATGATAAAATGATATAGATCAAATGTGACAAAGAAACAGAAGGAAGACATTTTTTGATAGAATGTTTTGATGAATACAATGAAGACAAAAGATATTTGCAAATATTCAAGGACCTAGGCATGACAGAAATGACTGAAAATCCACCAACAGAACATAACAATAGGGGAATATGGAGAGCTATGTCTGATTTGCTTTTTGCTTGATAGAAGAAACCGTCCCATATTCCCAGAACAGCAACAAAGAATATGACAAACCATGGACACAGATGGTTACACCAAAAGAAGCAAATAAACAAGATAAAACTGTTAAGTCTGAGCCCAGACTTGCATCTGTAACTTGTAACAGAGACAAAACGTAAAAGAAAGGATGCACAAAACCATACATTTAACATAAGCATGGATGAATACACTGAGATAAAATAACCCTGAAACTTTCAGCTAAATCTTAAGCCAACTGTTTAACCTAGGGAAGATAGAAGCCTAGAGCAAGCTGGTAGAGCCTGGGTGAAATGTACTTAGTTCTTAATGCTTGATAACACTTCAATTACCTAATTGTGCCATAATCTCTTTGACTGGCACTTTAATTTCAGACAGATTATCCAGAAAGAAAGGCCATTGCTTGGGTACCTCTGTAGTTTCTTTCACAGTGAACACACACAAACTATCCTAGCACTTTATTTTCTGCCTTTCTCCTATTTCTTACTTTCTTACATGCTTTCTTTATATTGTAACCATCAAGTGGCCCTACAGACTCTGCCAGGGTTGTCTTCTCCTCATATGTTTGAGGAATTATTGCTAGGTTTTTTTAAACTTTTTTTGTCATCCTTACTGTGTCCAAAATATTTCATCTTTTCTATCTTTTTCATTTGGACATTACTTCAGATATTTGTTTGATGCTTGTTTACTTCTAATAGTATCCATGCCACCTGTATGGATATATTTTTCTTTGCTGTCCCTTTTAGTGTCTTTTTTAACAAGCTCCCTCAATAATCATTGAACGAACCAGAGTGATACTGTGAGCATAGCATTTAAGGGTAGCTGACTTTATTGATGTTTTGAGAAAGCTGCCTTTATATCTACAGCAGATTTGGTTTCTCTGAGCTGACTTGTTACCACAAAAGTCTAGATTTCTTTCTGATTTTGGGTTCTTATGCAAAGTGCTTTACCCTTTTCTGTTTTGAAGGAGCTTCACTCAAAGGTCTTCACAAACCAGACGTGCAGCTTCTCTGTAAGCTGAACAATGACTAACAAGAATTTAAGAAGTCCTGCTAAAAACAGTATTTAAAAACAAATGTTTAAGACATTAGCATTTCTGCCAGACTGCAAGTTCATCAATATCTACATTCCCCAAAAATCTCTCCCTGTCTCTCAGCCCATGTATGTTTATGCAGAATGCACCATTAAAAAAATCCAGGTGAAGAGACATCATCATCATTAATGGCTTACAAGCTCTTCTTTTACTCAAAAGCTGTTTAAAAAGGCTCTAATATGCTAGTAGACTTTAATTTTTTTTTTTTAAATTAGTAATTTTAAGGTAAATTTAGGAACTTATAGCTAGATGTCATAAAGAAGACAATCTTCAAATCCAGGAACCAAAACCAGTTTAACTCTAGACATACTGTCCTGGTTTCAGCTGGGATAGAGTTATTTTTCTTCCTAGTAGCTGGCGTAGTGCTGTGTTTTGCATTTAATATGAGAATAATACTGATAACACACTGAAGTTTTAGTTGTTGCTAAGTAGTGCTGAAACTAGTCATGGACTTTTTCAGCTACCCATGCTCTGCCAGGTGCACAAGAAGCTGGGAGGGGGCACAAACAGAACAGTTGATCCAAACTGCCCAAAGGGCTATTCCATACCATATGACGTAATACGAAATGGCGGGGAGTTGGCTGGGGGGCAGCGATTGCTGCTTGGGGACTGGCTGGGCATCGGTCAGCAGGTGGTGAGCAATTGCATTGTGCATCACTTGCTTTGTATATTCTTTTGTCATTATTATTATTATTTTCTCTTCCTTTGCTGTCCTATTAAACTGCCTTTATCTCAACCCATGGGTTTTACTTCCCCCCCAGTTCTCTCTCTTACTCCACCGGGGTGGCGGGGGAGAGTAAGCAAGCGGCTGTGGGATACTTAGTTGCTGACTGGGTTAAACCACGACCTAAGCTGTTTTAACGCCCTTTATAATACAAACACACTGAAAAGTGTTACATCTGCCTTCCCATATTTACGTTTTCTATCACAGCCACTATTTGCTAATGTCATGACATATACATGCTCAAATAACACTGTACTTTGTAGGTGCACTGGCCTAATTTCTACACAAAAAAAATGAAAGTGGTCAATTAAAAAAAAATATTACAAAAGTTCATCAGTAATAAGCAATGCTAACTGGAAAAAAATACAAAAACCAAAAAGCAGCTATTTGAAGATCAAACAAGTTTGACCTTTACAAAACCCCAGTTAGAGTTTCTCCTTCTCTCAATGCCCATCCCCAAATATCATCTGCTACAGTTTTGAAAAAAAAAAAAAAAAAAAAAAAAATCGAAAGTACTTCCACATAAAAGTTTAGAGTAAAAAATTGAATTCTAATCTAATTTGTATGATGATATTCTCATATATATAAAAACATAGTTTTACAATTGTTTAGGACAGACAGATATGGTAGTCTCCTCTATGGATGGCTACAGGAAACAAAGCACTCCAGGACATTTTCTTCTGCTAATTTCTGTTGGGAAATCCATTTCAATAGCCATGAAATTGCAACAGACCTATTTGTGATTTAAGTCATGTGAGCTTTTTAGTAACAGACAAACATAACTTGTACATAACACATAGGTGTATATCTTTTGTGAAAGGAGGAAGAGGGTTTTTTATATGTAAGAGAGGAAAAATATGCAGAGGGAAAAGATGTTGTTATAAATAAATCTAGTGATTTCACTGTGCACCTACATTTTTAACAAACTAACTGCACTACATGTCTCCTAACACTAACTTACCTGTAGGACTTGCAAAGATTGATATTTTTACAGAGGGAAAATAAAATTCTGTGGGTGCACACACAACACTACTAATTAACCCTGCACCTAACCTAAACATTGCCCACAAAAAATAACTGTACTGTCACATATAATTGTTACAATTTTATTTTCTAAATAATGATATGAAATAATCTTCACTGCACAACTCTGATTTTGATGGCAGTCCACTACGCGCAGTGAGGCAGAGATGCAATCATCTAACTAATGTCAGTTTCATAACAATATTTTTAAGTGAAATAGCATCCAAAACCACTGGTTTATTAAATCTGATATTTTCTGGAAATCTCTTGGTTCATATGATACTGTCATTTGCAAATGCTTCTCAGGTTCTGAGTGTGTGATTGCAGTGTAGTGATATGGGAAATAGTCCTAAAGTAATAAAAGCCTCCAAAATAATCAAATTACATTTGATTGACATTTTCATTGGAAATACAGCAAATTAGGTCCAAATCTCTCCTCCATGCAAAATGTTAATGAAGTCTGAAGAGAATTACGTCTCTTAAACAACACAATAATCCGGTGATTTAGGCTGTTGGATACCCAGGTCCAGGTGAAATATAAATGACAAATTTATGTATTCTTTAGCAATCAAGTGCTTAGC